GGGGTGGGTGGGGGAGGAGGGGGCGGCGGGTGGGTCTGGAGGGAGGAAGAGGGGGGACGGGGCGTCTGGCGCTGAGACTTTGGGCTGCGGGGAGCTGGGCCGGTCGCCGCTCCTGACTCAGCTGCTCTCCCGACAGCCTTTGCTGAGGAGCAGGAGAAACTGGTGCACGGCGGGCCCTGCGACAGGGACTCTCACCCCTACCAAGCCGCCCTCTACAGCTCGGGCCACCTACTCTGCGGCGGGGTCCTCATCCACCCCGAGTGGGTCCTCACGGCTGCGCACTGCAGAAAAGAGTGAGTGCGCCTGTGGGCTTCAGGAAGGGTGGGCGCAGCAGGGGCCCCACCGACATCCCGAGGCCCCGTCCTTGGGCGCAGTATTTGCACAGAACCTGTCCTCCCTCCCAGACAGTTCCATCAACTCTCAACTACTTAGTTGTTTTTGTTTTGATTTTTTGGTACTGGGATGAAACTCAGGACCTCACTGTTAGGAGGCAGGCACAGAACCACTGAGCTAAATCCCCAGCTACTTAGAATACCCAGGACAATGTAAATGCTGTGTTTGCGGGAACGGCAAGCAGAAAGTCTGTACCTCGTACAGAAACAGTGTTGTCCCAGTATTTTCAGTCCGTCATCGATTGTATCCATGGATGCTGAACCCACAAACAGAGCACTGGCTGAGCCACTCTGGGCAGTGGAGAGGAAATAAACCAGGACAGGCGGAAAGGATGGATGGATTTCACTAACCCGGAGGGCCGGCTGTGGGTCTGACCCCAGCGGGATCGCCCTGGAGGACAGTGCTGAGAGCACCTTGCCTGGCCCTGGGAAGGAGGAAGGGGTGAGGGAGGTCAGAGGTCCGTGCCGAGCCTGCGTGGTCCTCTGGAGATCACGGACCTGGTGACTGTGGGCCTGGGCGCGGTTTGGAGACTGAGCCAGTAGGAGGTGGCACCGAGGAACAGGAGGGAGGAGAGCACAGCGCCTGGCCCCCAGGAGCGTATCCTGCACACCAGGTGCTCAGTCACCTCTGTCTCTGAGCCAGGAGAGCAGAGAAGCTGGCTGGATATGCAGAGGGGAACAGGAGACATTTGGCCACAGGTGGAGCCATTTCAGGTCCCCAGGGAACGTCGGAGCCGGGGCCGGGGTGGCTGTCGGCACTTAGGGCAGCCCTGAGAGCTGTGAGTCAAATTAAGGCTCCACCAAAAAGCAGGTCTTACATAGAGCGCCAGGATGGGGTGAGATCATCCCAGGAGCAGGTGCAGACAGCAGACAGGGTCAGGACGCTCCTCACGGGGACTCAGAACCGCAGCTGCACGGCCCATGCTCAGTGAGACAGTCTAGGCTCCTTTGCAGGAGCAGGGGAGGAAACTGAGGCTCACAGAAGTCTCCAGCAACAACCCAAGTGTTGAGAAACCAACAGATCCCTCTCCTCGCTGTGGGGACGGGCCTTGGGTGCAGTCGTGGACCCACAGACCCCTAGGTGGTGTCCCTGACCCTCGCCCTTCGGGAGACCCGGGACCCCCCAACCCCACCACACCATTCGTTCAGTGGGTGTGCAGGGTCTGGGGGCTGCACCCAGTCCCAGATTGCACAGCGCTGCCCTCAGGCAGCTCTTTGAGGAACGAACCTTCAAAAATCCCATATAATTATAACTTAGCTTTTCTTTTTTGTTTTTTTTGGTACCGGGATCAAACTCAGGTCCTTGCGCTTACAAGGGAGGTGGGCGGGTGGAACTGCTGAGCCAAATCCCCGGCTTAACCTAGCTTTAAATCTAAGAAAAGAATAAAGAAAACAGGGGCACCGACTTTGCAAGGAGGAACTCAGGAAAGACTGACTTCCCAAGAGAGGCCAAGTGAAGCGGGGGAGAAGAGGGCTCACAGCGGGGGAAATGCCAGAACAGAGCCCCCCAGGTGACAAGGTTGGGGGGGCTGTCAGAGGCGAAAGTGACCAGTTCCCAGAAGGCCAGAAAGTGGGTCCAAAGCACACAGCTGCACCAAAGCCAGACTATTCAGCAAGGCAGATGCTTTGATTTGTTTTGGAAACATTTACAAAACACCTAGCAGATGCCGGTTCTGACAGAGGGGATTCTGCGTGTGGAAAGGACAGAAAATCCTCATGTTGGCTGCCTGACACCATAGCCATCAGCCACATGTGACTGAATTCAAATTAACAGAATGGAATAAAAAGAGAAACCCACATGTGGCTGGTGGCCCCTGCGCTGAACCATGCAGATAGGGAACCTGGGGACGTGTGGGACATTTCACTGGGCAGCAATGCTCTGGGAGAGGAGGACACCAGAAAACGTGTGAATATCTAGCAATACACATAATAGCAGAGCTGAGGGTGATAATATGCTTTGTGGTAGAAAAGAAAGCAAGGCAGGGGCAGGACTTGCCCACTGGGTTAAGCATTTGCAATTTAGTTGGGTAGCCAGGGAGGGCCGTGCTGAGGAGGTAACCCTTCAAGAAGGTGACGGTTGGGTGGTGCAGATGCCTGAGCAACAGAGTGGCAGCCAGAGTGAACAACTGTGCAAAGGCCCTGTGGTGGGAAGACCACTATTGTCTTCAAGGAAAGGTGAGAAAGCTGGTGTGGCTGAGGTAAAGAAGAGAGAGGGAGCAGGAGAAGATGGTGCTTAAGAGGTGGTAGGGACGGGCGCAGGATCTCTTGCACCACGATGAGAACTTCCGCTTTTACCTGTGTGATATGGGAGTCATAGTGGGAATCAGATGGCTTTCTGGACAAGATGTAGGATGTGAATTAAAACAGTCAAGCATAGCCTCGAGGTTGTCCTGGAAGGACGGCATTCCCGACTGCGCTGGGAGGCCCGGGTGGATGACTCACGACTCCCCAGCCCTCTCTGAAACCTCGGTTGTAGCCCAGGGCTCCAGGTGAGACCCAGCCCATCTCCTTCCCAGGAAGCTTCACGTCTACCTGGGGAAGCACAACCTTCGGCAGTCAAACAATACCGAGGAGATTTCTGTGGTCAAAACCGTGGTCCACCCCGGCTACAATCCTGCCACCCACGACCAGGACATCATGTTGCTGCGTCTGTCCAAGCCTGCCAAGCTCTCTGACTGGATCCAGCCTCTGCCTCTGCAGTGGGACTGCAAGGCCAGATCGGTCCGCTGCCACATCCTGGGCTGGGGCAAGACGGAGCAAGGTCGGTAGGGGGCGCAGCCTGGCGGATTTGCCACGGGGAGGAGGCGGGGCAAGGGCGAAGGGTCAAAGAGGAAGTGAGGACAGCAGGTGACGGGCATGGGAAGGTGGTGAGGGGCGAGCAAAGACTGGGGGGTGGAATTTAGGGGCTGTGCCTCTGAGTAAAGAGCCAGTGGAGAGCAGGACAGCAGGTGCAGAGGATGGCAAAGATGGGCCATTTGGAGAAGGGCCACTGAAGAGGGGAGGTCTGTAGAGATGTGTTAGGAAGGACTGGATGAGCAAGAAAGATTATGGAGGAAGAGTGTCCAGCTGAGCAGGAAGCCAAGTGACCATTGTGAGTGGAGAAAGTTAATGGACTGCAGAGACTCAATGGGAAAGAGTCACTAGTTGAGAGCAGTCACTACCAAGGGATTTAAGAGGTCCAGCAGATCAGTAGGGGCCATTGAAGGCGGGCCTGTCAGAGAAGGACCAATAAAAAGGAGGATCCCCTGCGTGAAGAGCCAATAGAAGAGGAAAGCTACCGGAGGAGGTGGGAGCAGTTAAGAAAGGACCAATGAGGGAGGTGTGCCTTTAACTGAAGGGCCAATAGGAAGGGAAAGCCAATGGTGACGGACAGGGCTGACTAGGAAAGGGCCAATAGTAAAGTGATAAGTGATCAGAATGAACCAATGGGCAAGAAGAGCTAGTAAAGGACAAACTAATGCCCAGGAAGGGTAAATAGAGGGAAAAGGTCAACCAGAAGGGCCGAACAGGGGGCTGGTGCTTAAGAGACAAGAAGAAGCAGGACCGAAGAGAAAGGGAAAACTATAGTAGGAGATAATTGGTGGAGAATATTCTACCAATGAGGAAGTCAGGCCAATGGGAAGCAAGACTGCTGAGAAGGGGCCCAATCAGGAGGCAGTGACACTGGAAATGGGCTCGCAGACAAATGGGAAGAAAGGACCAGGGGAGAGCAGGGACTCGTGGCGGGGCGGGACGGGGACTGCGGAAGAGCGGGGCACGGAGTGAGCCCGGCCGTCTCTCTCGCCAGGTGTCTTTCCCGACACCATCCAGTGCGCCTACGTCCACATCGTGTCCCAGGAGACGTGCGATCAGGCCTACCCCGGCCAGATCACGAGGAACATGGTGTGTGCCGGAGATCAGGAGGGAGGGAAGGACGCCTGCCAGGTGAGAGACGCGGTCCCCAGCCCAGGGACACGGGCAAGAATCAGACAGCGATGAGGAGACGGAGGACGGGGGTGCAGAGACTGAGAACCAGGGAGACACGGGACAGAGGTGGGGGGCGCCAGACAGCTGTCACCCTCAGAGCCTCAGCACCCCAGAGGAGGGGAACCCGCGTCTCCAGGGAGTGTCCCTCCCTGCCCTCCATCCAGGCTCCCCTCTTTATGCCAACGTGGCCAAAGTATTGAAGGTCGCACACAGTCCCACCCAAAAGAGCAAGAGGGAGACCCAGAGAGGCAGACACAGTGATTTGCGCGCAAAGAAAAGGCAGACAAAGAAAGGGTGTCCTGAGGATGAGTGGGGAGGCTCTTTGCTCATCTCTCCCAGGTCTATGCTCCCCTCCTGGCTTGTCGTGTGTGTGTGTGTGTGTGTGTGTGTGTGTGTGTGTGTGTGTGTCTTGGGATCGAACCCAGGACCTTGGCACTGAGTTACATCCCCAGCCCTTTCTGTTTTTTATTTTGAGGCAGATTCAGAATCCCCTTTCCACATGCGGAATCCCCTCTGTCCGAACCAGCATCTCCTAGGTGTTTTGTAAATGTTTCCAAATACGCATATATTGCTACGTTGCCCACGTCAGCTCTGAGCTCATGATCCTCCTGCTTCAGCCTCCCAGAAACTGGGACTGCGGGTGTGTGGCACCAAGCCTGGCTGTGTTTGTTGTTTTATGTCTCTTCCTCCCTCTCTCTCCTTCTTCTGCGCCCACCACACTGCTCCATCTCCTTCTTTCCTTCCTTTCTTTCTCTTTCTGTGTTTTCTCTCGGTCCACACCTTTCCGGACCTTGGTGTTTCTACCTCTATTTCTCCATGCCTTTGAGTCTCTTTATGCTCATCTGTTTGCCCACCTCTCTGTCCTGGAGTCTTTCCCTCCATCTCTGAATTCTTCCAACTCTCCTCTCTGCGTGGCTCTGTCTCTGGGTTTCTGCATCCGACCTTCTCCCTCTTTCCCACAGGGTGACTCCGGGGGCCCACTGGTATGTGGGAACCACCTCCGGGGCCTCGTGTCCTGGGGTAACGTCCCCTGTGGATCCAAGGAGAAGCCAGGAGTCTACACTGACGTCTGCAGATATGTCAACTGGATCCAAAGAACCATCTGAGGCAACTGGCCCTGACACGCACAGCCAGCTCTCGCTCTCTGGCTGGCTCCAGAGTCTCCCTCCCTTGGCCTGGTCTTCTTGCCCCACCTGCCGGATAGGCCTTTGATGCTTTGCAAAGGGAGTGACAGCCAGAGGGGGGGAGGGAGGGAGGAAGGGAGAGAGAGCCCATCCTCCCGGGCTGTGCCCTTGCCTCGCTAGGGGTGGGGACAGGGAGGACACGGGCTGCCGCCTGATGGGAGAGCCTCCTCCTTTCTGTCACTCCGAGGCCTGGTTCCTTCCTGGAGGTGCAATCCCAGCTCTGCTACTTGCTGTCTGTCTGCCCTTGGGAAAAGCCTCACTTTGGAGTATCTGTCTCCTCACCTGTGACACAAGGACAGTGAGGAGAGCGCTTTCCTCCCAAGACCCCGGCCAGTGAGATGATGAAAGGTTTCAGACACAAGAGATGCTCGGAAGAGTGCCTGCCCGCCCCCCTCCGTGCCCAATAAAAGGAAGTTTTTATCACAAGGATGCTTTTTGCTCTTATTTCACTTGTGCCTTTTGGAAGCACACTTCTCCCCAGTCATCTTCCATGAGGAAACTTGATTTCCACTCCCCCACCTCGTGCTGGCCCTCGGGTAGCTCGCTCTTGAACTCTGGAGCAGCGAAAGCCAGGCGAGGGGGTGGGAGCCGCTGAGTGCAGGCAGAGCGATGGGAGATGAGGTGGGAAAACAGCAGGGACCAGACTCCCAGGGGCCTCAGACACTGGCCTGAGAGACTAGAGCTCCTTCTGGGGCTCACCGGTGGTACTGGAGGACTGCGAGCTTGGCAGGATGACCAGGCAGGTTTGGGGTGATGGTGCAAGGGCAAAAGACGGAGGGGAAGTGGCTGTGATTCGCCGCAAGGTGAAGGCCAAGTGGCTGTTTCTGTGAGGAACAGAACATGGAGAGTCCTGGGGCGTGGGACACCTGCAGCCCGGACGCTGGAAATGTAGGTCAGCGGAAGACGAGGCCACTGAGGCCGGGCTGAAGGACTTGGACTCGATCCTGAGGCCACTGCGAAAAAAGGAAAAGGACAGGGCCTGGCCTAGGTACCAGAAAGAATCCAAGATCTTTGTCCTAGGAGTAACACAGGTGTCACGGGGCTGGCTTTGGGGACGAGACAAAAATGAAGTCACAGGTATAGCACTGACCACCTTGACCAACCCTCTCCAGAAGTTATGACTGGGAAGAGGGCCATGACGATCCCAAGGTCTTCCAAGTCCCCTCCAGTTATCTGAGAGGGAATTAATTGTCTTCCTTCACAGAGAATATGAGTGATAACAATACCCAGGACCACGGTGACACTAATAATAATGGTAAACACTTATTAGCACATGCCCGGTACTGTTCTACATACTTTACATATATTAAGTCATTCGATCCTCATAACAAGCCTTTCATGTTTGTTTACAGACAGGAAACTGAGGCATAGGGAGCCCATGGTATGGCCAAAGTCTTACTTGACAGGAGGCTAAATTAGAATTTAAATGCCAGGAGTCTGGTGCCCTAAGTTGGGCTCCTAACTGTTCCTCGACACAGAAGGCTTCTTCAATTCTGAGTGCTTGAGCATCAACACCTAAAGGTTCAGGGTCCCCCTCAGCGCACGCTGGGAAAGATGATCTCCACGCATTTGGCACTGAAGGTGCTTGCGTGTCTAGGACGATTTTGTCTTCGATAGGGACAGCCCATGACTTTACTTTAAAGCATATAATTTGTTGATCTGTTTTTTATTTTTTTTAAATTCATTTACTTATTTATTTTGGTACCTGGGATTGAACTCAGGACATTGCGCTTGGTACGCAGGCACAGTGCCACCGAGCTAAATCCCCAGCCCAATCTGTGTTTTATAAATTGGAGTTACACCAAGTTGATACCCAGCATTGAAATCTTTGCGAGGATGCGATGTAGATCACATTTATAAATACAATATACCGAGACATGCGAACTTCCTGAATTGTTTTTTAGCCTAAAAACTAGGAGACTTCCAAAAGAGATTGAGAATTGTTGGCTTGAGAAATGTAGTTCAAAATGTTTGAAGGCACTGGAACTAACTAGTCTTGACGCCATAAAAGTAACTGTTGCACTTTGCCAAAAATTAAGTTTGTAGGCTGAATTTAAAAGACCACAGAAGTGGGAAAAGAAATACCAGAGAAAAGTAGATTGTTAAGCAGCTCACTGGAATGCACAAAATAGCAGTACATGTAAATCAAAATGAATCTCAAAGTGGGTTGGGCTTCGGGCCTCACCTCTTTGCCTGTGTACCAGAGCCACCCCTAGGACTCTGAGACCTGCCGTCCACCTGAGCAAAATCCGGTCTCTGGCCTCAGGGCCCAGGCCCAGTGAGGGCAGCACCGTGAGCCTCCAGCATCTTGTCCAGGACAGGCGGTGTCTGACACCTGAGAGGCCAGTGTGTGGCTGCACCTCCCAGCGAGGGGACACCTGGACAGAGAGTTGGGGGCCGGCAGAAAGGACCTGAGCAAGGACGCGGACGGGAGACGGGGCCTTCGTCACCACCATTCACTCCCCACCCAACGCCCCATTTCTAAAGGGCAGAAGCCACCGCCCCTGATCCTGGCTCTCGGCCTCTTTTTCCATTAGCAGGTGGCCCTGCCCAACCTGGCACCCACGCTTGACTGGCTATGCCAGACACCAGCTGTGCCAAGGCACCAGCGGGGGGCCCAGACTGGGTCCCGTCCCCCTGCCCCCGGCCTGTGCCCTGAGGAGAGGGGCAGAGGAGGGATTCAGGATTCTCTGCAAGGTGACCTGGGCCTCCCCTGCCCAAAATGCAGGGCACGGAGACACAGAGACAGAAAGGACAAGGAAGAGCAAAGCTCAGAGCCAGTGACAGGGAGGGTTGGAGGGAGAGAGAGAGAAACGGAGGCAGAGACAGAGAGAGAGGCACGGACAGGGACAGAGGGAGGAGTCTGAAAACAGGGATAGAGAAAACAGAGGCATGACATAGGCTTGGGGGAAAGGTACAAAGAGAGGCACGGGTGGAGAGAAGGACGTTAACGAGGAACCACAGACACACACAGAGGGGCCCTGGGGGTGACAGAAAACATCCGACTGCACACTTTGGACATGCACAGTGTACTGTGCCTAAATCGTACGGTAAAAAGGCTGTAAAGTTATAAAACAGAAGAGAAATAAAGGAAAATAAAAGGCTTGAGAATTCTAAAGTGCATGTGACAGTTTCCAGAGAATCGCAGAGACGAGATGGCAGCACGACAGACAGAGAGGGAGGAACAGGGATGAAGCTGAGCAAGGAGAGGGGCCCCAAGACGGGGGCGGGGGGCAGGCTCAGTGGGTAGCACATATTGGGAGACCTGGAAAGTTTCAGTGGGAAAAGAAAACTCAGATCTGACAGTAGAGTTTGAAAAATAAACCTGGTACAAGAGGTAAGGAGAGGGCCGAGGATTTGACTCAGTGGTTTCACCGCCTGCCTCGAAAGCCCAACGTCCAGAGTTCGATCCCTGGCACGGGGGGGCCGGGAGACTGAGGCAGAATGTGCAGGAAGAACTCCCGCCTGTGGGAGGCTGGGGCCGAGACCCCTCCCCATCCTGGCTGGGCAGGCAGGGAGTGGCGCGGGCTAGGTGGGGGCTGCTGGGTGCGGAGGGCAGCAGGGGAGGCGAGGCTGCAGGAGCGATTACCTGGCTGGCCTGGCTGACAGACTGACAGGGCGCCTCACTCCCCGGGAATGTGCCCGGGGGACCGGTGGGCGGTTATAACCCAGGGCCTTACCCGAGCCGAGAAAGAGGCTTGGGCAGGAAGGGAGGCAGCACGGGCTGAGCAGTCTGCAGTTGCGCCGGAAGCCAGCCCCTCACCCACCACCCAGAAGAGGCAGGTGAGCCGGGTTGGGTGGGAGAGGTGACAGAGTCTGGCCAGGTCTGGAGTCTGGGCTGCACCTGCCCCCTCTCTCCCTCCCCTCCTCCTCTCTGGAGCTGGCCGCCTGGGACTCTGCTCTCCACTCAGGTCCCTGGGTCTCAGCTCAGCACTGGTGACTCTGGGACTCTTTGTCACTGCCCTGTGGTCCCCTCTGTCCCCTGAACACAAGGTAGGGCATGGAGGGAAGTGGGCCAAGACTCCCAGTGCGTCCTGTCCCCCCCAGGTGCAGCGGCCATGGGCAGCGCAGGAGATCCCCGGATGTGGATGCTGGGTACCCTGATCACGGCCCTGATTCTGGGGGCCACAGGTAACCCGGACCCCGCGGCCACGCATGGGACTGGGTTGGCTGCCTGCATGGGCCTGAGGGCTGGTCCCCATGGGTCCCATCTGTACTTGTGCGTCCGACTCCGCTCCTGCGCCTGTGTGGGGTCCCTGGTCCCTATCAGGCGACTGGTGTGGCAGCGGAACTGGCCCTCTGGGTCTCGTGTGCGACAGGGTGTGTGTGGTGAGACTGTGTGTGGATGTGAGTGTGTAGGGCTCTGTGAACGCCTGCGGCGTCCGGCTTCCGTGTCCTGGTCCCTGTGGGCAACAGGATAAGAGGGCGCTCGCGGTAGCCATCCGTGATCGCGGGACGGTGCTGGGACTTTCTGTCAGGTGAATGGGCTCGACTTCGTACTTGTCTGAGGTCGTGTGGATGTCACCGCGTATCTGGGCCGCCCGACCCTCCCTAAAGGGACCGCGTGTCTGGAAGTGCTGTCACTGTAAGCCGCCAGCCGGTGACCCGCCACCTCCTGGGTATGGGCGTCCAAAGGCCACTCCACTGAACGGAATCCTGTCTCGCGTCACGCGCCTGTGTGCAGAAGTGTGTGTGGCGGTCTTGCCTCTGTGCACACCCGGCGACCGCGCTTGTCTCTGGGGCCCTGGTGAGTGTGGGAGGCTCTGCCGGGCCGCCCTGCGTGTGCCCAAGGAGGTCCGTGCCTCGTCTGCGTGTGCCTGGCTCTCATGAAGACCTTGTGGCTGGCCTGAGGAAGGAGGACAGCGGGGCAGGGTGTGGCGTCTGCAGGTCCGTGTGGGACCGAGGCACTGAGGCACTGGCAGGAGGATTTGAGCCTGAGAATTCGGGAAGCCAGCCGCACTGCTCTCCTCTGCTCAAGGCTGCTCCCCCAACTCTAGCTCCGCCCAGGAGCTCTGGCTCCTCCCCTTTCTCGGCCACGCCCCCAAGCCCCACTCTGGTAGGGCCCCTGGGCTG